AGCCAGAGAAGCTGAGGACTGCCATTCTCCAAGGGGCCCACTCCTTTACTCTTTCTGGGCCAGTCCGACCTGGCCCAGTGGCTCAGCAGTCAATGTCAGCCAACTGCGGGGTTGCAAAAAGCTGCAGAATGCATCCTATCTGATTCCAGGAAGCAGAGTCGTATTCCTGGAGAGCTGTCAGTCTAATGGGAGACTCTGAGGTCTGCCTTAGAAAACTCTAGCCTTGAGGGGAAAGTGGTGGTAACAGCACCTGTCCCTACCAAACAGGGAGTCATGTGAGTCTCAGAGAGTATGTAACTTCTCCAGGTCACCCAGCAAACTGTAGCAAACACAGGGCTCTAAGCCTATATATAGCCTTCTTTGTCAGCCAGGGACCCTGGGTCCCTTTGCCCCTCCCTTAGGCTGGAGTCAGTGTCACAACAGGGGAACAGAGGGGTCCAAAGCCCCACTCTTGACTAGCCTTTGAGTGGCAGCGCTGGGTGCTGTGGGTCTGACTGGGAGCCATGGGTGTGCCAGGAGGAGCTGGGGGTGGCAGTTCTAACCAGAGCTTGGAGAAAGAAGCAGGCAAGGTTTCTACAAGCAAAGAAAATGAAATCATCCATTTATTGGATTTCTGTGGCCATTCAGCCTCCTTCCCCAGAAGCACCTAGGGAAACATGTCCAGAAAACATTAGCCAGGGAAAGGGATGGGGTAAGAGAAAAGTCAGAGGATCGAAATAAAGAGATCTGTGTTCCTGTACACACATTGCACACACACACACACACACACACACACACACACAGAGACAGAGACAGAGAGAGACAGACCAGACAGACAGACACACACACAGAAAGAGAAACAATGAAATGATAGAGAGAAACTGCAGACTTCTTTTCTTAATATATGTATTTATTTACTTATTATTTAATTTATTTTTGAAATGGGGTGCCCCATGTAGTTCCGGCTGGCCTGGGACTCCAGAATGCTGGGATTAAAGACATATACTATCACACTAACCTCTTACTAGTTTTCTTTTTCTTCCTGCGACACTTCCTTCCTTGACGGAGTCTCATGTAGCCCAGGCTGGCTTTGAACTTGTAATGTAGCTGAGGATGAACCTGAACTCCCGATTCTCTTGTCTCTATCTCCCAACATTCTTGTTACCCCTGTGCTAGGGTCCTTAGGCTGACCTGTTGGCATGAACTCTGGAATGATGAGGTCTTTGTATTCCTCCATTTGTGCTGGATCTGAGCTGTTTGGAGCATGGGAGCTAGAGGCATGAGATGTCAGAGACACAGGCATCCTTCTCCAAGTTTGTCCATTGTGAAGAGGCAGCAACCATCAAGGATTCACTGGCCCCGCCTCCAACAGTCCTGCAGCTGGGAGAAGGGATGCAGTGGGAGAAAAAGAAGGCCAAAGGACCCCTTCTGGGAAGACGAAAGATGGGGCACGATAGGCATTTCTGGACGAGTGACTTTCTCTTCTGCATCCTAATTGTTAAGGCGTTATATCCTAGAATTATACCCCAAGGAATGGGGCAGGCTAGCTTCCTCGATCTCCAGCCCTACCTTCCTCTGCTTCTAGAATACTTGAGGCCTGGCAAGGAAAGGACTCTTCCAGAAAAGTGAGGTGGGGAGGAACCTGTAATATGCTATTGGGGAGGAAGAAGCTTCAGTGGCCCTGGGGCCGGAAAGTTGACAGTAGATTTTCTGCCAAGACAATGGAAGAGATTTCGATTAGACTCTGGCCAGAACCACAAAGTGTTGGAGTATAGGAGGGTACAGAAAGGGCATCTCATGAGACTTGGGAACAGGTAGTCACTGTCCACCTTCAGTGGTTCCTGCCCCATTGACCCATATCCCCTATAAATTCTAGGAAGGTCCTTGATCTCTGAAGATCCCTCTACACAGGCCTCAGTTACCTGGATAACATTCCATTGCCTCTGGATCCAATCCCAGAGGCAAGCCCAGGCATCCGAAATCCAAGGAGTCTGGGGCTGAGTAATCAGCTGCTATAGCTATGAAGCCCTGTAGTGTTGTGGGGGGAGGGGAGGGATAGCTCCCCACCTCCACCTCACCGGGGCAAAACGGATTCACGGATGGAGGAGGGGCAGCCTGTCATTCCAGTGTCTTCCCATCCTCCTCTCTTTGCTACTTTTCCCCTATTCCCACCTGCAAGCAATTTGGCCAATGGGAGGGCAGCTAAGATTGCTGTGTGGAATCCTTCTAGATCTGGGTGCATTTGGTGAGGAGGGGGCTTCTCCTTCCCCACTCTAGACCCTGTGTAACCTTTTCCTCTTCACAGAAGCAAATTACTGGTAATTATCTCACATCCAAAGCCTTCAGGAGCTGCTTCCAAAATTGCTTTAATTGAATTAATTGAATCTCATTTGGTCTGGGGAGAGAATGGGGGGCCATACCTTAAAATAGTACAGGGGAGTGGAGGGGGGGGTGAGTTACCCAGAAGGAGATTGCTTTCCTGGGGCTGAGATCATGGAAGTGACAGCATTTCCCTGGACACACTGCCGGCTTTGCAGCCTCCACTGATTTTAGATGGGCAAGCCACTGCCCACTTTGAGTGGGGGACATTGCCCAAGTCCTTGTCTCCAGCAGTGGCAGCTGAGAGGTGCTGGCGTGTATTCCCAGCCCCATCCTTCCTCCCTACCTTGGGGAGGCAGGGCGAGCTACCTAAGCAAGCGATAAATAGATGGTTATAGGAACTCCGGCTCAGAGTGAGCAGCCCCTCCTGTCATCACAGCCTCAGACGTGAATGCCATTTATAAAGTGGTCGCTGTGTTCCAGACACCATGTCAAGGCCGTGACAAGTACTATCTCATTTCATCATCACAAACCTTATGGAGAAGCAAGTCCTAGTAACGTTCTTGTCTGAGGGGATGAGAAATAAACACAGAGAGGGTAAGAGTAAGAAACTCACCAAAAGTCACAAAGCAAGCATCACTGCTGGGACTCTTTGGAGGCCAAAGTCTACCTTCAGTCTTCCCTTTCCTTTGTTGATCCTGTGTCCCCGATGGAGCCTCATCCTGGGAAGAAACCGGAGGCTTCCCCCGCAGTAACCCTGGTGGCTAGAGAAGTGGAGGCAGGCTCCTTTCCTCTTGGAATTCCTCCAGGTTCATCACCACCCAGAAGTCCAAGGCAACTGGACCAGCTCCTAAATGGAAAAGTGGCTCATTTTCCCTGGAAAGGGGTAAGGGAATGGGGGTGCCGCAGGCTCAGCTGGTCCCTGGCTGAGAGAGCAATTACACTACTGCTACTTAACTTTACAACCCAGGCTGTTGTTTTAACTATGCGACTCGTGTTGGGCTGTCCAATTAATCTGCCTTTGGAGGCTTTCCGAGATGGGGCGGTAGATCTTATCTTGCTCTGTGGAAAGAGGAGTGTGTAGCCTGCATGGCAGGGAACAGCTACCCCCAGGGCCCTTGGCCTCAGAGAAGACCCAGGGGAGCCATTAGGGGCCAGCCACCCTTTAGAGAATTGGAGCCAGGGTCCCAGGGTCAGGGGGAGGATTTGAAAGGAAGAAAGGGAAAGAATCTTTCCAGTGGGCACACTCACTCCGCTCTGCTCTATGATCTGGCATTTGCTGCCCACAGGAAAATCTTTGGTGTATCTTTGGGGGAGTGGGTGTGACCACTGACTCAGTCGAGGAGCAAAGAAGGGATGTTTGCAGCCATCCCTAGGTGAGACACTTCACTGACTGTGATACCCTCTCTGTCCTCCCTATGACCCCAGCCGAGCTTCTTTCTAGCCTGGGGTTGACTGGAGGTGCCCTACTGGGCTTTTCAGCCAGGGACTGGTGCCCTCCATTTGCTGTGATTGGGAACAGGTTCAGGCAGTGGGAGGGAAGCTAGCCTTTGAAGCCTTTTGCCTGGAATTGGAGGCCCCTCCCCAGCCCCTGGGGCTACTCTGGGCTGAATTCCCTGAATGACTGACCCTGTCCTTGCCCCCCCCCCCATGTGTGGTAGGAGCTGTGGCACTGAGTGAATCACAGTGCCGCCAGGTCCCGACGCTCTGGGAACTCACCAGACTTCCCACCCAGGCCTAACCCCACCAGCCCACGCTGGCTTCCGGGTGGTACCCACATGGCCTCTGTCCTGCTTTTCCTCTGCCTCTGTCACAATGCCTCCGGTCATCTGTTCAGCCACATGTTAGCCCGAAGCATCCGTCCCTGTCAAGGTGGTATCCCTAGGACCTACCCAGCCGGAGAACCATAGATGTGTATTAGATGGAGAATTCCAGGTCCTTCTAGTATTTTTTCTTCCCCTCACCCCTTTCTGTAGTCTGAAGCCATTCTACCCCCAGAAACTCACTTCTTCCAGAAGGACTGGAAGCTCAGTCCTCTCCCAAGGTAAGCCTGGACTAAGTAGAACATGGTGGCTGTGAGGTAACCAGCTCCCTCCATAGCTGGCCCAGAGGGTAACTGATGGGAAAGACCACTCTGACGTTGGCCATTCCCTATATGAGCATTTCGTATGATGCTATGGGCACTGTTAGGATATTCCAGAGCTAGAAACACAGAGTTAGCTGGTGGCAGGGGCATAACAAGAATCTAGTGTTGAGCTGGAGAGATGACTCAGTGGTTAAGAGCACCAGCTGTTCTTCCAGAAGACCTGGGTTCAATTCCTAGTGCCCACATACCCTCACACAGACATATGTGCAGGCAAAACACCAATGCACATAAAATAAAAATAACAAATCATTAAAAAAAGAATCTAAGCAGGGTGTTGGTGGCGCACGCCTTTAATCCCAGCACTTGGGAGGCAGAGGCAGGCGGATCTCTGTGAGTTTGAGGCCAGGCTCGACTGACAGCCTCCAAAACAGAGAAACCCTGTCTCGTAAAACCAAAAAAAAAAAAAAAAAAAAAAAAAAAAAAAAGAATCTAGTGTCTATGACTTCTGGTCAAGGAGAGGATGTATAAGATGACAGAAAAGATGAATAACTAGCAACAACCAGGATGAATCCGGGAGACAATAATGCATAACACCCAGGACACTGAGGCTGTTTTGTTTTGTATACATTTTAATCTCTGAAGCTTGTGGTTTGAGAGATGACAAGTGCCTGGGGACGCTGGACAGATAATGGTGAACTGGAGCAGATTCTTGGACAGAAGCAACTGTGAGGAGCTGAAGTGCCAAGCCTACCCTGTTGTTGTTGTTGTTGTTATTATTATTATTTTGGTTTTTCAAGACAGGGTTTCTCTGTGTAACAGCCCTGGCTTTCCTGGAATTCGCTCTGTAGACCAGGCTGGCCTTGAACTCACAGGGATCGGCCTGCCTCTGCCTCCAGAGTGCTCGGGTTAAAGGCGTGCGCCACCACCGCCCAGCACATTTGCCCCATTATTTGGAGGCAGCAATATCTGCATTGATCCAAAGAGCCTGTTTGTCCCATTTCTCATTCTAGGTTTCCAAGAATGTGTGCAGGTGGACTTGTTAGGGATCAGGGATGGAGGAGCCTATGCTCTTCATACCTGTTGAATTATATGGAGGATTAAGCCCAGGACTTGTCAGCTCAAAATGGGTAGATATGGGGGTAGAGGGCCTTTTAAATGAGAGAAGCACAAATTGCCCATGGTCCTACACTCCATATTTTGTTTTGGTGCTGGGGCCTCTTGCATGTTGAGCACTTACTCTACCATTGGACCCCACCTCCAGTTAGGGAGGTGATGGGCTGATAACTGGTGGATGAAAAGCAGGGACTTGATGGTGGCCACCAACAGAGGCTGTATTCACTTCCGGTTTTGTTCATGGATGGCCTGGTAGGGCCCAATGTGCCCACCAGAAACAATATTTGTTTTCTTCCTGGCTTAGATCCTAGGCTGTGGTGGGGCTTCAGTCATTTGAAGGGGGAAAGAGTGGTAAGACTATAGCAGTCTAAACTCTAGCCAGTGAAGCTCTCTCTAAATCCTTTGTCCCACTGAGGACGGTTGCTAAGATTAAAGCCTTTGATTCAGCTATCTGGCTTGGAGAACCAGACTCCCACTCCCTTCTTTTTCCTCCTTTTGCTTCTTGTCTTGAGAAAATCCATCTGGAGCTGGTTTCCTCTCCTCCCAGAAGGGGGGCAGGTGAGCTGGTTCTGGGCTTGACAGGAGGACTGGAGCCTGACCAGCCCTTCTCCAGACTCACATCATGTGAGGCAGGAACAGCACTTCCGAGGAATGATGCTGAGGCCAGGCTCTAAAGCCATTGTCACAGCCATTGGTGGGCAGGGGAACTGCCTGGGGGAGATCCCAGATGGATGGAAGATCGGAGAGCAGGGAGATGGAGGGGCGTCTCCTAGAGAAGTCTTCTTCCTGATCCCCACAGTTCTTTTTGAGGAGCTTCTTGTGTTTGAAGCGTTTGTTCTGAAACCAGATCTTTACCTTTGGGAAGAAAGAGGACCGAATAGAAGAGTTGTTCAAGGGTTGAGAATGGGAGACAGACCTAGCTACAGAGAGTGAGTCCTGCCTTTGCTCAAGCCCTCCATTCTCGGAGTCCCTCAGTACCAACTTTGGGTCTGGGTGTCCTCCTCTGCTCGTTCCCAATTCTCCTCTAGTATATGCCCCCAGCCCTTGCTACGGATCAGCTATGGGCATTCCAAGGAGAGCTGTGTCAGCAGACTCATGGGGTCTCAGAAACCAGGGACTAGGAAGCTTTGCACCCAAGGATGGACTGGCCAGCCCTACCTGGGTTTGGGTGAGTCCATCTTCTGGGGCTGGTTCAGGGGTCGCAGTTGCAGCTGGAGTGGACAGTTCTAGAGCTGCTTGGAGGGCTCCAGGGACAGCACTGGTTTCTCTAATTCTGGGAGGCAGTAGAAGACTGTGTTGTAAGCAGGAGGGACCAGGTGAGTCAGACATTTCCCTAGGTTCATGCCATGGGGAATCAGCAAAACCAGAGCAGCCACCACCATCAACCTGGGTCTCAGTGTGTGCGGGTACCTATTTCTCTGCATTTCAATTCCTGTGTACACCAGCAACAGTGAATTCAAGTGGCAGTTCTTACCCTGTTGAAGCTACCACTGTGGGACCTGGGAATAGGAAATACTAAGGGTCCCCGAGCAAGGGTACTGTGGCTCCCACAATGGGAGGTTGGAGTTCAATAGCTATGGAGGTACCTGCTTAGGATAGAGCAGAGAGAGGCAAAAGACTCATGGAGGGCTAAGCTATGATTTGAAGATGAAGAGGGCAATTACTCCAAGGCCCAAGGAACCTAAAAGTAATTCTCAAAGCTCACCAGTAGTGGCTTCCGAAAGGGGTCTGTATAAATCTGCCTTGAATGACAATACCAAGGCTGGAAAAGTGAGCCTTAGTGTACCCTGCAGTAAAAGTGACTATCCCTTTCTTCCCCTCAGCCGCTGGCTCAGAGGAGCCCTTTTCAGGGATCTTGAAGCCAGACTGACGTGCGTGTGTGTGTGTGTGTGTGTGTGTGTGTGTGTGTGTTCCAGAAAAACGCATCAGCCATGTTGCGGAATAGTGGTATAAGATCTGGTCCCTGTCCTCTGGCACCGCCCCTGCCTGCCAGCCTGGTTCTCCAAGCTCAGTTGCCGCTTGTGGCGCCACGGTTGAGGCCTTGGGTTTCCATTCCCTGAAATCTGGGCCCCAACCTGTGTCACTGTACGGGATATGGAGACTGTCCGAGAAGATGAGAGAAGTGTGTGGATGAAGAGACAAAATACCCGCCCAGAATGACAAAATGCTGGGGTAACAGTCGCCTCATTCCGTGCTTGTCTGCTGAGGAGACCCTAGGTGAAAGCGAGCAGAACGTCCCTGTACCCGGCTTCCGTCCTGCTCCCCATTCATCCCTAGCTGGGTTCACCCGGCACACCTCAGGGTGCCTGACTGCAGGCCGCAGTCACCATTGCCTCCACCATCACCCCCCCCGCGCCCCGCATCTTTCGCCGCACCTTGGGGGCCCATGGGCTCTCAGATCCTGCCCTTCGACCCCAGCCTCAGCCAATTCCTAGAAAAGCCACTGGGTTTCCGCTCTCGCCTGATCCTGTCCTGCCTCTTTAAGTTTCACCCTACCGCTCGCCTAAGGCTGGCAGCCAAGCGACCATCCGCGCCTCCTTGGCGGCATGAACCGCGCAGTTCGGGTGGTGACGTGCAGAGAACTAAGAAAGACAGTCTGGACTGCTGAACTTTCAAAGCAGATCACCCTCTAGGTGACTTCCGGGACAGCTGCCTTTCTCCACACTAGTTGCGGCAAGTCACAACTGGATCTACCCCGGTCGCGATAACGGGTCCCCAGGGCCTCCCTGAAGGCGCGGCCGCCACACCCGCAGCCTCAATGGGGTGTTGGTGAGGCGCTCTGCGAGCCAAGCGCCTCCTCGGGACGGAGTTTACTCGTAGTGTGGATTTAGGAGATCCCAAGCCCTCTATCATTCTCCAGTCGTTCATTCAGGAACGGACAGTCCACACAGTTCCAATAATGAAATGCTAAGGTCTATTTTAAAGACGAACTTGCTTGTGAACACTAGCATCTGTGGTTTTTCGTTGGATCCGGGAAAAGCATGTACTAGAATTCTCCATTCCATTGTTATTGGACCAAGCAAGGGAAGGCAAAATATGGAAGACAAGACAGGCAACTCCTTCTTATTGCCAGAATAAATCTCTCAAGGTAAAGTCAGGTTTCCAAAAAAACGCAAATTGTCCCCATGTGCACACACATATGTCTCGTTGCCTAGGCTGCCCTCAAACTCAGGCTCCTCCTGTTTCTATTTCCCCAGTGCATATTAGCATATCTAAAAGGAAAAGTTCCAGAGGTGTGTAAAAACCCTGCCCCACCACCGTCCCTCCCCCAACCAAACCCAGCAACCCAGCAAACCCATCCCCAGCTCTGCCACAGAAGGGGTTAACTTTCTGGGATTCTAAGAAGTCCCCTAAAGTTCCCTGGCTCCATTTCCCCAGGAAAATGAATTCACATCCTTTCTTCCTACCTCAGTTTCTCCAACCATAAAACAAGGAATTTGAGATTCTAGGGCGACTTTCGGTTCTGGGGGTTCATGAATTTATGTCAGAGTGAGAGGAGAAAAGGAGGGAGACATCTAGACTTGGGACTGACTACTGGGAAGTCGCCTGGCAGACGTGCCAAGGACAACTGGAGCAAAGCGATGGGATTGGGGAAGTCGGTACAACTGGGTCTATGGATACCTTGCAGTGCCAGCCAAGGGCCATCAGTTTGGCTACGCAAAAGTCAGGCCTAGGAAGTCTGGCTAGTCCACCACCTTCACTGAGACCTTCCAGGGAGCACTTTCTCTGGAGCTCAGATTTGCTGCGGGCAACAACAGGAACTGGGCCTAATCTATCCCAAAGGTAAGTGGGAAGACGGTAGGAACGGCTTAGGTGCAAGGCTGAGGTGGTCAAGGAAAGACTTTGAGACTGAGCAGCCCATAACTTTATTCTTTGAATAATGGTTGGTAAGGTCCTACACCCAGATTCTGCAGAGGCCAGCTACCAGACGAGGTTAGGCACCTCTGCCGAAAAGAGGGGGTGGGGCCCAGGAAAGGAGAAGAAGCCCCGCCTAGTTGCCTACCTACCTCCAGCTGGGAACTGATTTCTGTTTAGTAGTGTTTGGCTTGCAAAATGGTTTCTGGGACCAAAACTCGGGAAGGGTGATGTCGGGAATGGGGTGAAGGATAAGAGAATCGCGGGAAAGGAGCTAGGTGTCACCCCCATATCTGGATTACGGCAGTTTTCCGTTATACATAGGTACACACACAACTCCACTGCTCCAGGGGATGGGATAGGGGGCCCTCCCGCCGGGCTTCACAAAACTGCAAATCGAAACCAGGTCGGATTTAAAAAGGAAACCTAAATCAACTCGCGCCGCTCCTCCCCCATCCCTTCTCCCTCCCCCTACCGCAGATTCCGTGGAATCCGAGTAACATTTGAATCCCGCTAGCTGCGTGCAAGCAGAAGAGGGCGAAATTTATGAAAACACAACTCAGACCCCAGAGGTGAGTAGAGCCTCAGCGTCCACACTTACCTGCTTCGAGTTCCTGAGGACGTTCAGCTGACCGATGGAAGGACTGAGCCGGCGCCGCCGGGAGTTGGGGCTGGGCAGGTAGGAGTCTCCTGAAGTTGCTGGCCCAAGGTAGGAATAGGACAGGAGGTGGCCATCAGGCTGGGAGTAGGACAAATGGGGGAAGCTGCGGTTTCGGAGGACAGGCCAAGCGGGTAGACAGCCACTACCGACCGGGCGGGGGCGAGGTCCGGGAAGACAACGCGGCCAGGAAGGGGACAGGGTAAAGAGGTCATTGCAGCCGGTGCCAGGCCACAGGGTCTAGGTCATGGCCCTACACGCCTTCTACTCTCAATGCCAACACCTTTCAAAGTTTCCAGAACTGAGGCAGATGAGCCCCCTCACCCCAAGCAAGCCACCCCCATACTTCAGATCCCAGGGAAAATGTCTCTCTGAGCCTCTTCTGGCATAGAGCTCGAACTCGAGAAAGGGGTTTGGGGGTGCCCCATGGCTTTTCCCCTCCCCCCTCAAGTTCTGGGTCCCCATCTTCTCCTCTGGATTCTGGTCCCGGGACCACACGGAGTCCCCCGCCCACTTAGACACCTCGGATTGGCTATCGCATGGTGACTTCAGGGAGGCCCAGAGCTGGGCCCGCCCCCCCCCTCCCCGGGTTATCACACACCGGGGAAACGGGAGGGGTGAGGTGCGGTGCGCGAGCTCCCGGCTGTGCGCCTAGGCGCCTACCCAAGTTGCTGGGGACCGGTAGAGTGAGGAAATCTCGTTAACAATGCCCAAAGTGCTAGGAAATTGGACCTGGGATGGGCAAGGAGCGTGGAGAGCTGCGTGGTGACTAGAGACGCTGCGCGGATTCAGAACCTGTGTTGGCGCTCTGCGGGTCGCATGGCCCCACGCTGCCTTGGCTCTGCGAGGGAGTGGAAAGTAGATCGCCAGCGCCGGCCGCGTGCTTATTCAGCGCGTTGGAATGCAGAGCTGCTGAGCGATGGCAGTTTGTTGGTAAACAGACGCTGGGGGCTGGAGGTGCCGCCTGGCGCCCAGCCTGTCCCGCACGCGCGTGGCGCGCACGCCTCCGCCGGGTGCCCAGAGCCTGGCACGCTGCGACCGCCGCGACTGCGCCTCACCACCCCCAAAGCAGTCTTCCGCTTCCGCCAGGGGCCCCGATTTGGTTGCGACACTACAGATCCAGCAGGCCCTTGAGACTGCTGGAGGGAATCTGCTGTCTGGGATTCGCCGGTACTGAGCCCCGCCTTTCCTGGCACTCTGCGCAAACTGTAGCCTCGCTTGAACCGGGACAAAATCTGGGAGTGGGGGTGAATCTAGTTTGATGGATTCTGAAAGGACACAGAAAATATGGCTAGCTCCTTTGTGTACTTCCAGGCTGTTTGCAGGACCTGCCTCAACAGTACTCAAGGCCTTGATGAACATGTATCCATGCTTGCAAACATCTGTTATCACATGTGCAAAAATACACAGGAACTTCATCTAAGCACCACATGTATGTTGTCAGATACCAATATCCCTCTATGAAAAGAGGCTCATTTATGGACCTGCAAACACAGACATCCCATTCCCACCGTCTGGAGAGTGGGTTTCTCTGTGTAGCCTTGGCTCCTGGAACTCATTCTGTAAACCAGGCTGGTCACGAACTCAGGTCTGCCTGCCTTTGCCTCCTGAGTGCTGGGATAAAAGGCATGCACCACCACTGCCAGGCGCAAATACAGACTTTAAGATGTGGTACATCTACATCTGCATATCCAAATATGAGCAACTCTTTGAATAAAAACACAGTATTAAAGCTGATGAGGTGATCTAGCAGATAAAGGCGTTTATCAAACCTAACAATCCGAGTTGGATTCCCCAGAACCCATATGGTGAAAGGAAAGAACAGACTCCCAAGAGCTATTTTCTGACCTCCACACGTGGGTTTTGTTATGCATGGATCCACACACACGGACATAACACAAAACAAATAAATGTAATATTTTTTAATTTAAAAAACATGGAACTTTCCTTCTTCGCATGCCCATGTACAAGTCAAACCATTGACATTCATTCTCAAAAATAAGGCAATCCAAACATAAATATATATGAACATATACCTACTGCACATATCTAGACTGTTTCACATAATGAAAGACCTTTTATTTTTTATTTTTATTTATTTTTTATTTTTTGGTTTTTCGAGACAGGGTTTCTCTGTGGCCTTGGAACCTATCCTGGAACTAGCTCTTGTAGACCAGTCTGGTCTCCAATTCTTAGAGATCAGCCTGCCTCTGCCTCCTGAGTTCTGGGATTAAAGGCATGTGCCACCACCGCCTGGTGAGACAGTTCTTTTGTTGTGGTTAAGTTTGTTTTTTCCAAGTAGAGTTTCTCTGTAGTGCTGACTGTCCTGAAATGTAGACCAGGCTGGCCTTGAACTTAGAGATCTGACTGCCTCTGCCTCTAGATGGGATTAAAGGCAAAAAAATTTACCACCACTGCCCAGTTGTATCCCTGATCCCACAAGTCTACACAGATTCCCTATCAAGTCCAACACAGTTGATCCCTCTGTTGTGCAAGCCATCTTCACACACACACACACACACACACACACACACACACACGCACACAGGACTTAGAGGGAAGATAGAGTGTTGGGAGAGAAGACAGCTATTAGAGAAAAAGACAAGACTGGAGGGGTAGATGAAGGCAGATGTAGGCCTTATAAAATAGAGTCTGGGGATGGGGAGATGACTCAGTGGTTGAGAGCTGAGTCTTCCAGAGGACTGGGTTCATTTCCCAGCACCCACATGACAGCTCACAACCACAAGTAATTCCAGTTCCGGGGGATCTGACATCCTTTTCTGGCTTCTGGGTCCCAGACACGTGCACAGGCAGTACACAGGTACATATAAAATGAAAATAAATAAAAAGAGAAAGTCTCAGGGAATGTTTAGGGACTGTAGCACCTTATGGACAGGAGAAAACTAATCGGCTTTTAAGTGTCCCCGACTGGACAGAAATTAGGTTCTCCAGGAAAATGCTGCCTTGCCACTGACATAGAGTTCTCTACCCTGTAACTCTGGAGCTCTGAAGAGGGGACCCTGTAGGAGACCCTCTTTCTCAGGCTGGCTGGGAAAGGTGTGCAAGTTTGCTTGGTAGGTAAATGCTATTTTCAAGTGGGACCACCTTTCCCCAGGTTCCAGCCATGCCTACCTCCTTAGAGCTGGAGCTATGAACTAACTTCTGAGGACATTGCTTTTCAAGCCTCCATTTCTCTAGCACTGTCCTGCTCTTTTGGGGTCTTTGAGGGGGGTTGTTGTTGTTGTTTTGTTTTTGAGACAAGGTCTCTTTGTGTAGTCCTGGCTGTCCTGGGACTCATTCTGTAGACCAGGCTGGCCTTGAATTTACAGAGATCCTCCTGCCTCTGCCTCCTATGTGCTGGGATTAAAGGTGGGCACCACCGCTGCCAAGCTGGCTGCCCTGTTCTTCAGAAGGGAGTCCTCTGTGGTGTTCCCAAGGATGGTCTCTCTGGTTGCATGAATCAAAGGAAGAGCTGGTGCTGGCTGTCAGGGCAGGGTTCATAAGGGGGTGTTTCAAAGCTAGAATGGAAAGGATGATGGGGGACACCTCTAGGGTCAGGTAGTGAGAACCCTTTCTGTGGGGGACCTAACAAGGGCAGAGGGAGACAGTCTGGCAGGCTCTGCAGTGTGCAGCTTTGGGATAATCTCCCAAGTAAGGACCCGAGAGAATGCCTTTTCTAAGCCTCCCCATGTGCTTAGGAGCACTCTGAAATCAAGCAGGACCTGTACTTGTGTGGCAACCCTATGGGATTTATAAATGCCTCATCCTCACAAATCCCTGTTACTATCTCTGTCCCTCTACCATCACCAGCCTCATCCCACCTCCCAAAGTATGAGGGACCCGAGCACTTGCTGGACCTTAGGCATCTTCTTAAGTGAAGACCCCAGCCAGGAGGGGTTTCCCAAAACAGAAATCATCCTCTCAACCTTAAGAAAAACAGTAGTGATGGCTTGTGGGCTAGGGAGAGCAGTGTTAGTTAGATGAGAATGGGGAATAGGAAGGCCCGGGTTCCATCCCAGCTCAGCCTCCAAGTAGCTGGTCAGTTCCTAATAGAAGGCACAGGCAGAGGACGGGGCTGGACTGAGAATCCAATCCTCTGTTGTGGTTTGCAAAATCCAGAATTCAAAACCATAAAACTAAGGGGGAGGGAAGGAGCAGAAGACGAAGGAAAGAAGGAAGGAAGGAAGGAAGGAAGGAAGGAAGGAAGGAAGGACAAATTAACCCTTTTCTATTACTACAAATAGCTCCTGCGGCTCACAAAAGTAGGAACTAATTCCCCCAGTGTTTTGTCTGAGAGATCTGCTTTGAAGAGCCTAGTGCTAAGAAAACTAGCCAGTGGTGATGGTGTATGTGTGTATATTGGGGGTGGGGTGTTGGGACCTGGGGTGTTGGTAGCAGGGGAGGCTGGGGAGTTGGAGGAACCCGATTCCCTTGGTGCTCAGTACACATTAGCAAACGTGGGTCTTTTTTATTTCTTGAGACAGGGTCTCACTATGTAGCTCTGGTTGGCTGTCCTGGACCTCGCTCTGCAGACCAGGTTGGTCTCCAACTCACAGAGATCTGCCCGCCCCTGCCTCCCAAGTTCTGGGATTAAAGGCCTGCTCCACTATACCCGGCTCACGCTTGGGTTTTATTAACTTGCTTCAGGCTCCTTTGTGTCCAGATTCCTCCTGTAGCAGAATCCTCATCCTCCAAAACAGCGAGCTTCCCGGGCAGTTCACAGCTAAGGGTGGGCTCAAACAAATGCGAATGCACAGGGATGGCATTCTCGAATGGCTCAGTACAGTGTAAGCGTGGCTTTTGCTGCCTGGATCAGGCGTGGAGCTCTGAAACTACAAATCCACCTCGCACCTGAACCAATCTGCTCAGGGAAATAGAGATTCTCACTCCCCACCAGATTTCTGCGGGTTTGGGGGTCATTTTGGAATTACACCCTTTCTTTCCCCGTGGTCACTGCCTCCTAATGAAATTTTGGTTTTGGTTTTGTGTGTTCTCAGCAAGCTTTAAAGTCCTATTTGGACTTCGTAATTCGGTTTGGGGAAACTAAATAACTCAATCTTGCCACAGCCTCCCATCAATCTGTCTCCGCACCGCACCGCACCGCGGTAGAGTCCCTGTAGCAGAGCCCCGGGTTCCGGAGGCCTGGGGAGGAAGCCACCTGTAGAAGACAGCTTCCCTCGTCCCATTTTGCTTGAATTCGGAACCACCACCGGGTCTCCTTTCCTCCTTCTGGTGGTGGAGCATTTGGTGAGCCCTGATGTCGGAGTGGCGGCGTTGACGGCCTCTACAATCCCGGCTGGGGACTTTCCTTTGTGCTCACTTCCACTTTCACGACCCCCTCCCCCGCCAGCTTTTTCTGCGTGTTATTTTCCAAATAATCCTAAAGATGCTACCAGTGGATACGGAGGGGAGAAGTCTTGGGGTCATCGCTACCCCATCCAGGCATCGCTTGGCGTGGGGCTCCCACGAGAATCTTCCCCAGCTCGCACACTATCTCAGCGACAACCTCACCCCACTCCTGCATTCCCTGTTTTCTTTGTTTAACTTCAAGAAGTCTACCTGAGACTGACCCGGGCATTTTTAATACACAAGAATATGAAAAGTCACCTATGCTAAGACTTAACTATGAATAAATCTTTGATTAGGACACCGTCCCCAAAAGAAAACTGTTACTCTGAAGTTGGGAGTGTTGGAAGAAAGTCTTTGGTGGCGCCAGGCTTGGGAGGGAGTCACTCGGTACTGAGCTTCCCCAAGCTGGCGTCGGACCCTGGTGGGTGATGCAGGACT